AAGCAGTCATTTTAAGTTAATAGTAAGTAACTCAACTTAAGCCTTTATGTTAGTTAGATGAACCATAAATTGCTTAAGTTAATTCTTTTTATCCGCTGTAGAAAGAGACAAAATAATTTTTGTTGCTGATATGTACAGAATAAAATTGTGTATAATAATCAATCATTAAATAAATAAATAACTTTGATTACATCCAAGCATATTACAATCATTCAAAAACTTGGTATTAGGTTAATATTTGCTTTCCCTCTTTACAGTATTAGCAGTTAAAAAGAATTTCTGGTTACACTTTAATGCCCTGGCATTCATAAGCCAGGAAAATGACAGCCAGGATAATGACAAATTCGCCATTTTATAGCATATAACTTTAATTTAATATTTTGGCCGAAGACGTTTATATTCTGCAGAAAACAACAGTATTTCTTGAAATAACTCAGATAAATCAATGTAGTTTTTGTTATTAATGATTCCAAGAAGCCAGAAAAATGACAGCATAAAAACCTACTGGCGCTATCTTTTTTGGTTATAAATCATTAAATCAAAGTAGCCAAGAAAATGACAGATTTTCATGGGACAAACAAATTATTGACAGGAAAAATTATTTTAAACGAAGTTTTAGTAAACAATACTCTCTGCGTATATTCTGGAAATGCTTACATAGGATGAGATAAAAAAAATTAGATTTTGAAAAATGTATGGGAATGTATGTTTTGATGCTAGTTATTATTGGAAATATTGTTTGGGACATGCCAGGAAAATGACATTTTGATATTCAATTAAACTTTTTAAGAATGCAAAACAGTCAATGCTAGTGCAAAGTCATTTTAAAATGCTAACAGCAATGCCATTTATAAATTTTTTAAAAAAAAAAATTCTTTTAATATATAGTATTAGATCTTGGAGCAAGGGACAGTGATTTGTCATGTTTCGTGAGAATCACACATATACCGTAATTCAATTAAAACAAAAAACCATTATAAAATTATAATCGAACGAAAAATTAAGTAATGTTTTCGATATCTAATACGAAAGTAACATAATACTACAGTTGAATGCGTTGTGAAAAATGAATTTTCTTAAATGTATAATTTTGAAAATTCTTTTGGATTTTTTTTACCCAACTTTTGACTCTCTAACGAGACAGTAATTTATCTAACTATCAGGTAAATAATCAATTAAATTTACTTAAACCTTTGAGCTCCAATTTTAGTATTCATGTTTAGGTCAATCCAAGCTTGTGAAATGTCTTGCTTTTAGGAAATTGTAAGCAATCTACTCATAAATGTGGGAAGAATTTGAAAAAAAAATTATTCTTCAATAAGTTGGAGTTTTTAAATCATAAATAAATATAAAATGATACTCATTGCTAAGTAAATAGAACACAAATGTAAATAGAAACGTAGCAAATAGTACGGACGAATATGTAATTCAAAATTTCCGTAAATTTCCCACCAGTTGCTTCTAAAAAAGTTGTAAAGTATACTGAGTTCTTGTAATGTTAATTAACGAGTTTTGTAATGTTAATTAAACATTACGAAAGAAATGTCATAGAAGAAAAGATAAAATATTTAATAATTCTAAAACTTACATATGTTAGCTGTAATTTTATAAAAAATAAATTTAAAATAAAATAAAATTTTTGATTTTTTTTAGTGAGTTATACTTTTGAGACACTGGAATTTCAACAGGAAAAAATTTAGCAATGTATGTCTACACTGATCGTAGATTTCTACACTGATAGTAGATTTGAAAATATAAATTGATTTTAAAATGAAAAATATTATTAGAAATCCATTTTTATTAAAAAAATGTTTAAGGGGTCATTTTTAAGATAAAATATTTTAGGAATGTCCGTTTTTAAGTTAAAATATTTTTCAAAAGGGCCACTTTTACAATAAATATCACGTGAAGGGTTTATTGAATTCATCGAATAATCCCTGCTTCACAACAAATTGTTCAGATTTTACGAGTAAAAAGTTTATTAATAATGGATAACGGGACACTTTTCAGTTTTCACTTCTAATTTGATTTTTCTTATGAAAAGTAGATTTCCTTCTGGGCTTTGAATTATTTCTTCCATTTTTGCGGTAAGAAAATTTAAACCCAAATTCTTAGTCAGAAATTCCAATAGCTACACTAAATGTAAATTAAAAATAATTATTCTGGAATAAAAAACATTATCTGGGTGTTGGGATTTTTAAAATAAATATGGATCTTATGACTTCAAGGCACATTGTTATTACTTTTTGATATTTTATTTTTGAGTCAAACATGGTTAATAACACCGCCGAATTTCGTAAAATGAGTAGCTTGTTTACGATTGGCGATAAATAGCTTTCTACCACTACTTGAACTAAAAAAAATTCTACATTCAATAAACCAATCGTGCAGTATAAGCTTTAAAATATGATTACTAGATTATTTAAAAATGGTAAAAGAAATATTTTAATTTTATTTAATGATTTATCACAATAGTTTAAAAAATTGTCTAGACGCAGTTTTTGTTTTGTCTTGTTATCTCTATTTTAATACATGTTAATTATTTTATTTCGAAGGTAACTAACGTGAGCTCACATATCGACGTCGTCGATTCTTTAAAAATAGTCTAGAAACCGTTTGTTTTCTCTTGTTATCTCTGTTTTATTGAATACTAGTTAATTTATTTACAAGGTTATCAACGTGAGCTCACGTATCGACTTCTTTGGTACTTTCAAAATAGTCTACACACCGTTAATGATTTTTCTTGTTATCTCTATTTCAATGCATGATAATTATTTTATTTTGAAAGTTATCAACGTGAATTCACGTATCGACATCTTCGATACTTTAAAAATTGTTTAGACATCATTTATGTTTTCTCCTGTTATCTCTATTTCATTAAATGTTAATTATTTTATTTTCAAGGTTATCAACGTGAGCTCACGTATCGACATGGCGATGGCTCCTTCAGCGCATTTGGCGATAGAGATAGAGAAGGAAGCATGTTCTTGACTGCCTTTGTTCTACGCTCTTTCTCTGAAGCTAAGAGATACATATCAATTGATGACTTCGTATTGAAACACATGCAGGAATGGATTGTGTCTAAACAACAAGAAAATGGATGCTTCCCTGATATAGGAAAAATAATTGACATGGGTCTTCAGGTGAGGAAACAATTACATCATAACTTGTTTTATTTATTGAATTTATTGGTGAGATTTTAACAGTGGGGGTAAGATTTTAATATAGGAAACTGAAAAGTTTTGCAACTCTGGAAAAGATTTCAGTATGAACTGAATAGTTTTGCAACTCATGATATATTTTAGTATGAACTGTAGAGACTCGTAGAGGCCAAGATTTTAGCGTGAACTCTTGAAAAGTTTTGTAACTCAGACCAAGTTTTAGCATGAACTGTTGAAAAGTTATGCAACTCAGATCAAATTTTAGCATGAAATGTTGAAAAGTTTTGCAACTCAGATCAAATTTTAGCATGAACTGTTGAAAAGTTTTGCAACTCAGGCCGAATATAAGTATGAATGAAAGAGTTTTGAGACTTCGGCCAAGATTTAGCACGAACTGATAAGTTTTGTAATTCAGGCAAAATTTCCGTATGAACTGAAAAGTTATAAGACTTGGGCCAAGACTTTAATATGAATTGAAAAGTTTACCAATTCAGGATAACAATTAGCATAGGAACTAAACCGCTTCACACTGGGACGCAAGATTACAAAATAAGCAAACACGCAGTACTAAATCTTCAAGTCCAAACAGCGTCCTAATCTAAGTAGCCTTTTTCAGATCTTTTGCAGGTGGAGAAAGGTTGACAGCTTCTTAAAGAGATACAGTAGACTGAATTTATTTTCAATTTGAGAATGTAGAAAGCGAAAAAAAATATCTTTCTAAATATGAAATTTATTTAAAAGAATTTGACGATTCAATTTTGTAAAACTTTGTATTAATTTTTCTTCTTATTATTATTTTCTTTCTATTTTCGTTGGTTATTAGAGTATTATTTTTCTTCTTTACCCAAAATTGGCTTAAAATTTCGCACAATTTAGAGTAGATAAAATGAGAGTGTAGAAAATGCGAGGTAAGTGATTACCGTTTGAGACACTTTTCTTAAAAGGAATCAATGTAGGTAATACTGTGCTGTGGCCTTTAAACTGAAAAAAGAAACCATCAGTGTAAGGAATATCGGCTGAGTGTAGATCGCACTTTAACTTAAGGAAAACTTGAGTCATAAAAATACCATGCCTTTTCCACCTTTCTTAACCCGCAAAAAAAAGTATTTTCCCCAAAGGGAATCAGCGTGTCATTCATGGACTAGCGCTGCACGCTTGTTGTTTTGTTATCTTGCACTCGGAGCAGAGAATTAGCTCTGTTAATTAGTGACTCAATTAGTTTGATATTTGAAGAGAAGCTTACTCGTATCAATTTCCTTCAAAGGGCTCTCTTCTGTACTGGTTTTCCCTCCCTCCATTGCATTCAAGCACTCTAGCCTTTATCTGATGTCTAACGTAATCTTTTTTTTTTATCCATCTCAAAATTAAAGCGTAATCACCAAGCGAAATTTCCTGATTATAATTAAAGTTCCAATGATTTTCTACTGCATTAACCGCTGGTACGTCACTTAGTCTAGAACATAAGTCAAACAGTATCCATATGCTCTTAGCATAACACATAGGGCTAGTAGAAAAACTGCCAAATCTAATCTATGAAGGCGAAAAACATTTTTTCAGCGTTTTTAATGAGATAGTCATGCTTAGTTTTGTTTCGAATCGTCTTTCTACGCTTTTCATGACGTAGCTATGTTCAGTTTTTACTGCTTATATTTAACGTCACAGATGAACTAAAGTTAAAGATAAAAATTTGATTACATTTCAATATTTTAACTAGTATACTTAGTCGGCATGTTTCATAATATTTAAATATTTTATTTACAAATGCTTAGAAAGAAAATGCTTATTACATTTCAATACTTCATTAACATGGACTTTAGTAAGTGTTATATTATATTTCAGGGAGGAATTGAAAAAGACAAAGCTTCAGGTAGCATTACAGCCTACGTATTATCGTCTCTCCTTATATCTAAGTTCGACAACGAATCAACCATTAATTCTGCATTTACCTGTTTGGAAAACAAACCACCCACCAGTCCATATGGTGCATTTTTGTATGCGTACGCTGAAGCTCTAGCTGGTAAAAATGAACAAGCAAAAACACGAATCGAAGAAGTGAAAAAAAGTAGTGAAATAAAGGGTAAGGTTTTTGATTAACCCTGTAATGTATAATTCTTAAATATTTATAATATTAACATATACCCTAAAAATGACTAACAATTTAAAGAATTTTTCAAATAAATAAAAGGAAATAGATAGAAAAATGTATCAAGTCATCTGCTTAGGAAATTTATGTTTTAATCTCTTATTACAACACATTGTTTTAATGAATTTCCTCATGTCTGAAAAAGGACTGACGATTTTATACATTTGTTAAGGTCAAGGGGAAAAAGATAAAAATGTACATTATACTTCGTTCTGCTTAGGAAACGGAGTTTGATCTCGATAAGTTTTGTGTAAACTTCAGTTCAAATTTTATATATCTCCTGAAAATAAACGAATCCAGCTTAGTTATAAAGCAGTGATATGATATTGTTCTGGCATTTTATATTGTGAGATATTAAAATGCTATATTTTAAACGGAAATTGTTGTAAAAACTTTTAAAGCGAATGCATTGCCTGATATTCGTAGAGTATTTAAATTTTACCATATTACGATTTTCCTTAAATTCTTATTTTCAATAAACTTCGTCTCATTATTTCGTACTTAAATGTGCTTTTTAAAAAAATTTCCTGGTAGCGTCCTTCTCTCTCAAAATTTAAATAAAAAGAGAACTTAGCAGTTGAAGAATTAGGGGCAATATAATGCGATAATTCATATTATTTTCCTTTTTCAAGTTGTTAAAAAAATAAAATAAAATAAAAGCACGATTTATTTTGCGTTAAACACGGCAACGAGGAGTTTCTGCGAAGTGTGCTTTTAAATATTGAGAGGCTTTCTGAAAATAAAATGAAGAAAAAGTTAGATTCAAAAAAGTCATTTTTTGAAAATTATGGATTATTATTAAAAGGTCCACAATCATTCAGTTGTTTCAAGGTTTAAAGCAAAATAGTGTCTATATTTTTTGTATAATTTCTTACTTCAGATGGCATGGAATTCTTCAGAGTCGTAAATGGAAGTGAATCAGTTCAGATTGAGACTGATGCATATGCTGTGCTAACTACACTCAAAATAGGAGGTGGTGCTTCGGACGTTCTGCCTTACGTCCGTTATTTAACTGCTCATATGAATCCAAATGGTGGTTTCAAATCGACTCAAGTATGCATTTCTATTCTTTCAGATTTGTTTTCAGTTATATTTTAAAAACATAAATTATACAAATTTTATTTAATTAGATGGCTATGAACTATCAACCCTGTTCCCACCTCCCTTATTTCTTGAAGAGAAATTTTTTTTGTCCTCTGATTTCATTTTCAATTAAATTAGCCACTTTTTTGAACATCTTTAAGTGAAAACGGGTCTAAAAATCTTTCTTACTCTTTTCTGTCCATTTTGTACCCGTCTTTGTTTACAGCAACGTTCGATTAGTAAACAATGTCCTTTACGATTGGTGCAGTATTCAGGGTCTGAACCTTTTCAGGTACTACTTTTTAGCATACCTTTTAACTTCGTTATGATATGCTAATAAGTAGAACTTTTTTATAAGTAGAATAGTAGAACTAATAAGTTGAAGCATTTTTCTTTCTTTTTACTTCTTTGCTTTGAATTTCATAAAAATGTTTTTTTCCCCCGATTATTTGTAAAATTTTAAAGATATAAAGAATTTTGTCAAATCATTCTATCAAACGTTTCTGGGATTTTATTAATTCTGGTAAGAGAGACATTGTTTTATATGTTGTTTACTTTTTTAAGAAAATAATAGTGCTTATAATGACATTAATTTAAAAAAAATTAAATAAAGCTAAATTTTATCAAAAATTTGTATTTGGCTCAGCACAGCCATGTCCAACTCTTGCATTATTAAAATTTCTATTTAATCCATTCCTTCGTGTTAATTTCAAAGAATTTAATTTAATACTGATAATTAACTTATATTAAAACATGCTATAGGCAAATAAATAAAAAAAACACATATCAAATCAAAATATATATAATATAACGTACATATTGATTTTATAATTTTAAAACAATCATTTGCTTTATTATTGTTTAACTTATCATTACTACCTTTTTCAGGATACATGTGTCGGCTTAGAGGCTCTTTCAGAGTTTGCCAAACTGGTTTACAAAGATCCATTGAATCTAGAAGTTGGTTCAACTGGTGGCTTTGAAAAATCTGTAGAAATAAATGATGACAATAAACTTTTGGTTCAACGGTTTAAGGTTTCTGATGTACCAAGCGATCTTAAAATTCAAGCTAAAGGAACTGGATGTGGTCTTATACAGGTGAGCTAAAATTTAGTCGAAATGAATGTAAAAAAAGTGAGGGAAACAGAGTACCTTCCCAAGTCAAAATGCTTGACGGTTTTCCGTTGATGGGCCAACATAATTTCTATGGTAACCATCAATATTTCCATCATTACACATTATAATTTTTGATGGAAACCAACATGTGCAATCACCACCATAATGTTGGAATTCGGACTGATTTATGATGGTCCAACATAAGAATAGTAACTTGTTGTGATGGTCTATTCCTGAGAACCAACAAGAATTCCCATTAAACCACCATGGAAAACCATCATGGAAATGCAGAGTTGGAACCATCAAGGATCATCATGGATTGTCGGTCAATGAGAATCAAACTTTTCTTGGTGGTTAACCATCAGAGTATGAAAATATCATTTTCATGGAATGATGGAAGTTTGTTGGCATATCATGGAATGATGGAAGTTTGTTGGCATATCCAAACCCATGAACGCGTAATGGAAAATGTTTGATGATGGTGACCATCAAATGATATTGGACCATCATGAATCGCAACCAACATAAACCATCAAGAATTTTGACTTGGGCTTAAAGCCCATTAGTTGTCAACTTACCCCATTTTACGAGTTTTTTTTATGCTGTGAAGTATTTGTACCGTATTAAAAATGCTCTCATCAGAATACGAAAAAAGTACATAGTAACTTATGCTACGGAAAATTAAAAAAAAATTAATCGAGCTTCTATAATTACGTAAAAGTGCTTCAAATTTAAAATCCTTATTTTTCTCCTATTTTTTCAATTTTTTTTCAATTAAGGGTGATTGAAGACAATCAAATAACAATTTACTATATTATTGTTAAAGTATCTGACTAGTGGAAAATCACTATTTTGGACACATTTTTCGAAATTGAGTTTATGATAAATTTAGAATTCTTGTACCCTTACCTTTCTACAAATATGTAACTTTCCTTTGTGATCCAATTATTTACAAAGTTATAGTTTATTGTGCAAGGTGATATCAATGGATAGACTAATGATTTTGAGTCTCAAAATCAGATTTTTCACATTTTACACCACCTTAAACACTATATTTCATGCTTTTAATCTAATTGTTTACAATTTTTATGGGTGTTTATGATCATAACACACATGCTTTAAACTACAGACTAAGAGAAAAAAGTATAATTTCATTTTATGTATATCTTATAGCAAAGACAAGTGTGGAATTTTTTAAAAATTTGCTTTTTTAATTGCACTGATCCCAAAGTTAGTAGTTTATGCACTTGCCTTTAGGATAATAGTTGATGTCTTTCGAAATAAAATTCTCAATGGTTTTTTTTTGTCTTAGGTGATAGAAATTTTCTTAGTGTTTAGCGTATATGCAAAAAAAATTCCTTATCTTTACCAAAAAATGGTCACATAAAAATAAAATAATAAATATAACTTTTTGCTAGTTTCAAAAGTTTTCACACACAATAAAACAAATAAACTAGTTTTTTTTTTAAATTTATATTTATATTTTAAAAAAGAAGTTGTCAAAACTAGTTGGATAAAAATATTTATTTAATATTTTAAACTGAAATTTAGGATATCCAATTTAAATTAAAATTGCATGCCATTTTAATATGTTGTATTTATTAATTAATGGCTGTATTTCCAGACATCCCTCCGTTATAATACAAAAACAGCTCCCGAAAAAAGGAAATTCTTTTTGGACGTGAATGGAGATTGTGTGGATACGGATTGCAAAAAAGCTACAATTGGAGTTGTTGTCAGGTAACTAAGTTTGTTTTATGAATTAAAAAAAGAACATATTATCTAGTGTTTTTGAAGAATTCTAATTGTTATAACTTAAGTGAAGAATCAAAAGATCTTACCAGAAAATTGATAACATTTTCTTTTTGCATAATGTATTTTTGGTAAATTTGATTTCACCTTTAGTTTTTATCCTTACGAATCATATCAATTTCTTTATTGCTTGAACTGCTTTTACCATTTTTGGCTAGAAAGGACGGGTAAATGTTTGTTAAAAATGTTGCAGCTTGTGTTTTTAACATAAAATATGTTTTTTACAGCAAAAACTTTTTATCTACTAATAGCTTTCCTTTCTAAACAGCTTTTTAAAGCTATTAGTCAGTGAAGATAGAAAACAAATCCTCAGTTTAGGTGCCTTACACTTCATAAACCCATCGTTGAACAGCCTACCCAATTTTGACTTAGTGACTACTAATGTTTTTCGTAGCCTTGTAATTTTGAACTTATTCCAGAAGACAAGGAAGGTCCTGGATCAGGTATTGGGGAAAATGTTGCCTTTCTGGAGGACTTTTTGATGAAAATAACTCACATTTGCGTTACAAGAAGAGAAAAACCAAGGCTAACGGTTGAAGCAATGTTTTAATTTTAAACTATACGTAACGTTTCTTCCGCAAAGAATTATCGAACGAACAAATAAAGTTTTTTATAAAAAAAAAGGTCAGATTGGCGAAATTTTTCTTATGCCTCCATGAATTATATAAGCTCTGATTCCCAACAGAAACTAGACACCAGTTGATCCTTTTTACAATAGTAGTTGAGTTTTCCATCTTAATCTGCCTTTCACGAATAATTAAAAGAAATTCATGGCATTTTCCTACCCCAATAGAAGTTTTATCATAACTGAATTCACAGAAAGGTTAACTTGTTATTTTCGATGAATTATAAGGAAAAATAAGCTCTTTATTTCTTAAATGTCAGTTTTATGAAGATTAAAATTTTATAACTATAAGGCATTATACTTTATAGATTAAAGTATTAATCTTTTGCAAAACTTGCAACAAAATGCTTTTGAACTACAAAAAAATATCTAATTGAATTTTAAGACGATCCTGAAAATACTAAAATGTAATTTACGTGAATCATTGATTTTTTTAGAGTGGGACAATTATGTTTTAGATTGAAATCTAAAAAAATATAGTCCACGTCTATTTTTTATTCGAATGATAAGTGATGAAGCAAGTTTATTATGAGCATTTTAAACATCCCAATAGAATGGTGAAGCTATGTCTAAACCAAATGTTTTTAAAATTGCGAAGTATATTGTCACAACAATATATTTTTAAATATAGGACAAACATAATTTCAATGTTTCAATAATTCTTTTTTTTAAATATTCCACAGCTATTTGCCAGTTGGACAGAAAGCAGGAATGAGCCTAATGGAAATCAAACTGATTACAGGAACAGTAGCGGTAAAAGAAAGCCTAGAACAGGTTAGTGATTGATTACACATATCTTTGAAGCATATACTTATTATCTTTCATTTAGGCTTAGTTCAAAAAAGTAAATCAACATATAGCAGTAAAAAAGAACCTTGAAGGTTCGTAATTAAAAATGTTTTTAAGCCTTACATTTATGACATGTTATTTAAGCTTAGTTAGACAAATAAAATTGAACATAATATTTTTATTTCAACTCCGATTATTGTTCTATTTTTCACTTTTTTATGCAACTTGCACCAAAAAGTTTTTTTTATTTCTTTTACGAAATTGCTCCAAAAGCCAAACTATTTTGCTCCATTCCATCACAATACAAATCTATTGTGATTCATTTCTCTATGTATACCATTAAATTTCAGCTTTAAGAGTACAAACCATGCTGAAATTTTTTATTCGCCACTTTTTTTCACGAAAAATATGAACAATTTTTTAAAATGTTAACAGACTTAGCATAACGTAGTGAGCTTTTTATGTGACCAGAACCATAAAAGCCTGAATCTTGAAAAGGGAAACATATTTACCAATACATAATAATAATAACCTAAAATAAGGTTGTTAAAATTCAAAATATTTCTTCCATTCATAAATACTATCTTGGACTGTCAAGAATTCTAAAAATATATCCATCCAAACAACGTTGTTTATAGTACATTTTAATGATATTTGTTTGCATTATTTGGGTATATTATTGAAATTAATTGGTTTTAATACATTTCGTTGAAACCAATTGTGCAAATCTCGTAATCATAAATGTAATACACAATACTATTGCTGATCTTTAATGGTTTATTAGGCTGATTTTGAAGAAATTATATTTTAAAAATAAAACCATGATAGCCTAAAACCATTTCTCATTGTTGTCTACGTGTTCTTATAGGGCAGAACATTGCATGATACGATCCAGTTTATCATATAAATATTGTAAAAGTAATTCTTAAATTAAAAATTTTCTGTCTCTCAATTAACGGCAATTATGTGAAATATTTATTTATTAACCTAAGTTTGTCTTCAGCTATTACTTCGCTTACTACTAAAAATGAAAACGATTATTTTTTTTAGTTCAAATTAATCCCGTAGTGTCACCTCATTATGAAAGAATTTATGACAAAAATATTAAAAAATCTTTCGCTTATAAACCGCTTAAGGGGGAGACTGTAGGGTATAAATCAATATTGCTAAACCTGTCCTTTTTCGATGTACCTTTTTAGATAAACTACTTATGATATTGCTTTAATATTTTTTGGAGATATTTGAGATTATGTCAGTCGTATGCTGTGAGGATGTTTAGTGATTACCGGAATGATACTCTAACTATAACGGCATAAACTTTTTGAGTTAGGAAAGATTTTTGCTCAAAAATGTGATGAAAGTTTCATAAAAATTAAAAGTTCTTATTTCATAGTATTAAAAACAACATTTCTGTCAAAGATACCTATTAACAGTTACCATGCAAATATTCAGTAAAAAAACTGAAGATGTATCTTATTTAGATGCTGAGAAAAAGTTCACCGAAAAAAGTCACTTTTAGCCAATTATATAGCCTACCTTTCATAATTTAAGGGAACTTAATATTATGAAAGGGTAAATAGTTACTTTTATGATAAGCTTTAAGTATTACTATATATCCAGGAAACTTATTAAATTAAGGCAATGTTGTTAAATAACTTATTACAAACGAGTAATATTATAGTTTTTTAAATTTTCTTCTTCCTATTGGGTTATTATCAAACTTGTATTAATTACAGAACATGTTTTAAATATGCATTTCAATATTACATTTTATTTCAGTTGGTAGAGAACAAAGGCAACGATATCCTGCGATACGATATTGAAAATAACAAAGTTGTTCTGTATTTCAATCAGGTAAAGTGTTTTTTTATACCTTAATTATGTCACTAATGAAATTAGCACCTTGGAATATTTCTGCACTACAATACTTTAAAACGGAACCTATTACATAATTTTTATTGGTATTCCCTAGAGTTGGATTAAATATAGTAAATTACGCTTTTTTTATCATCGCGATATTTTAAAATGTATCATCATGATGATATGTTTCTGATGATGATATATTCATCATGATGATATATTCCTGCGAAATATTGAATATTTTATAACTATCAATAAATATAGAAAACGAAAACGTTGAAAGCAAATAATCATCACTCACGATAATTATCAATAATCAATAATAATTATCAAAAGTGGGTTTTTATATTTTCTTTGTAGAATGCTAATAAGTTAAAATGGCAAAATATCGGGATTACCTGACACATATAAAATATAATTATCGCAAAATATTATTAGCACTAAATACTGTATAATCACGATATCAATATACATAAGTATCTGAAAGATGCTAAACTATTAAACTGGCATTTTTAGAATATGATTGTTTTGAAAATAATTAAGTGTGATATTTTGACCGTTTTCTTCTGTTAAAATTAAGTTTTAACAGAAATTAAGTTATAGATTGCGGTTACCGGCAGAGTCATGTGCCGCGCTAAAAAAAACCAATATCTAATTTTACTAATCTGTAATTACATAAAGTTTAAAATTTTATGCATTGACTTATATTAAAAATAGAGGAGAATTAGATCATGTGTATAGTTTAACCAAACCCTTTTAAGCGAATTATTCGCCTATCGTTGGTTTGGTTACATTACGCGGCAAACATTTGATCACGTGACACCTTTTTAAATACATGTACTTTTTTCGTACTTATACAATTAAATACGAGTGTTTTTTTTTTCCTTTTCAGCTAACAAATGAGGGAGAAGTTTTCTCTTTCCAAGTTGAAAAAATTGTTGAAGTAGAAAATAGCCAACCTGGTACTGCCAAAGTGTACGACTATTACGCAAACGGTATGTTGATTTGATAAATTAAATATTCTTATTTTTTTTATCCTAGTTATCAAAATACCTGAAGGGTCCAGACGAAAATTATCTTTCCCCGTATGATTAATTTGTAAGAAATGTTGTTGTTTTCAAAGTATAACATTCACGGCAAGTCGAAAACTAAATTATAATAAAATTTAGAAAATGGTCACCAACATAATTAAGAAGAAAGCGAAAGTGATATAGTGTTTTATTTTCCTTGTTTTCTGACAAAGATTGGAATTCATTAGATTAGATCAGATTAGAATTAAGCATGAAGAGTAAAAAAAATATTTTACTCAAAAATGTCGAAAAAACGGCAAGATGTTTACGGAAAAAAAGGTGGAAAAATTATCAGGGTATTTAGTTATAAGAAACTCTAAAAAAGGTAAAGTAAAATTTACTTCCGCTATTAAAGTAAATTTAATATTGGGGCTATCTGAGTTGACAACAGAAAGTAACTCTTGAAAATCAGTATTCACTGTCTACTAATAAGACAAACCAATCGTCAAGATATATTTTCCACCATGACAACTCGAACTTTAGAAAAACTGTTTCTTCGAAATGATGGATGAATATGTCACAAGGATTCGGGGAAGAATTTGAAAGAATTAATAAACTCAATTATCAGTCTTGGCATTTTCATTACCAAAGCAGATTAAGGTGTGCAGACTATTATTCTCAACAAATCTGATTGCTATAACCATGTTGAGAATACACTATCAGACCAAAAGTATCCGGACTCCCAGCGGTATGATTTTTAAGTGTCCTGAGGCACATATTAATATGATGTTGATCCCCTTCATGCCTAGAGGACAACTTGCACACGTCTGGGAAGACTTTACGCCACTTTTTGATAGGTGGCCATGGGATATTGACTTCATTTTCGATTTGGCTGGCTACGCAATCTGCACTTTAATTCGTCCCAAAGGTGTTTTATGGGATATAGATCTCTGCTCTGAGAAAGCCAGTTCAGTTTTTGAACACCTATTTTGTCAAACCACGTTTGCGCAAGCCTCGATATGCGAATGGAGCAGTTATGCTGCTGGAAGAGAAATGGGCCTACCTAGAAATACTGCCATAGAGTTGGGAGTGAAGCATTGTCCAGAATGTCCACACACATCTCAGAGTTCATGTTTCCAGCACAGGAACTAAGGGATCCAGGTCAAACCACGAGAAACAACCCCACATGCTTCCATCACCATGACAACCAGGTGTCCGGATACTCTTGGACACATGGCCAGAATAAAATGAAACGTTTTGCACTTTTGGGGACTGTACTAAACGTTATTTCACTACTTTTATTTCAAATTATGCTAATTTCTGTACCCTTCCTAAAGTTTGCAGGCCTCAACTTGCGTTTAGACTTACTATAACCATGAGAATGTCTTGAACATTGATACCCTGTGCTTAGAACTTTTTTGCTATTTAACGCAAATCATCTCACCTCTAACTTCCAACAACATCCATATTGTTAAAAGTTCCTATGATTTTGTTTCCCAACTAGCACATATTTCCCCATCCAACTCTCTCTTGATGTTGTTTCTCTTTTCGCTGATGTCCCCATTTTTACTGTCATTCATTAGTGAAATTCATGAAACTGTAGTTTTAAACATTCTTTTATTGAAATTGAATATATATCCCTTGCCAATTCTTGTATTCAGTAAAACTGCTTTTCAATCAAATGGTAATTTCTGTTAGCAAATTAAGGGTTTAGCCGTAGGCAATCCCCTCTTTCCGATTCTTTGTGACATATTCATGCATTATTTCAAAGAAAAATAATTTTTCGAATTCTCATGGCGGAAAAGATATGTTAACCATACTTTTATCTTAGTAGACAGTGAATTCTGATTTCCAAGTGTTACTTTCGGTTTTCTACTCGATTGACCCCAACATTTAATATTCTACTTTAGACGAGGAAACTAATGTTTTTTTTTTTACCTTTTTTAGATGTTCTTGTAACGAAAATATCTAGATCATTCTTCCTCTTCTGCTTATCGTAAACATTATACCGTCTCTTTACCCCCTCATGTTTATTCTAGTCAACCGAAATGTCAGAAAATTTCATAATTTTTCCGCCCACTTAACCTTTACTCTGACTCTTCGTCAATAATCGAACTCAATTTTTTCTGCTCGCTTGCTGCTGACTGTAAATTTAATCCTTCTATAATTGATTCAGTTCTTGCTAAACTCACTAAATCCAAATTCCCCTCTTCTTCTTACCCTTACTTGTTACTTTACCGTTAACGAGAACTTGCTACTTTACCGTTTTTTCCCTCCCGTTTGTTACAAAATTGCTATTATCTTCTACGTCGTTCTTCGTAATTCGTTTTGGTTTTAAAGTCATTTTAAGGCCTGTTAACAAAATTAAAGTCTCTTAAAGATCCGATTAGTTTTGATAATCACTCGGTCGTTTACCATGTTCACTTATCAGTACGAGCTGAAGTACATCAGACAGATAAACCTTTTGATGGTAACCATCTATAACTCCATCATGAACCATTCTATTGTTGATGGTAGCCAACATTATAGTAACAAGCGGAAATAAAGTATGAATTCGGACTGAATTATGATGATCCATAATAAGGATATCAACTTGTTTTAGTGGTTTGTTCACGTTGAACCATCAGAAATTTTATTCATACTTTCTTAGAAATCAAATGTTAAAACAATCATGAACCACCATCACTTCAATCTAGGAATTCAGACAGATTATTATGGTCCAAACATTAAAAAAACCCAAATTGTTTTGATGATATATTCCTGAGAACCAACAAGAATTAACTATTATGAAAATGTATCGTTGGAACCATCATGAACTGTTGGTGGTTAACCATCATAGTATTAAAGTAAAATTTTCCATCATGGAAAGATAGAAGCTTGTAGGCATATCAAAAACCATGAATGCATAATGTAAAATTTTGGATGATGGTGATCATCAAATAATGTTGAACCATCATGAATCGTACTGAACCCAATATAAACTATCAAAATGTTTTGATGGGACCACGAAGGTAGACGCGCTTTAAAATTTAGACTTTAAGGCCATGATAGATACAACTGTCATCATCAATTACTGCAATTTGTTGGAATCTTTAACATAAATTCAATTTATACAACACGAAAATTATTTCTAACATCAGCCTTTTTTTCTAAAACATTACATGAATCTGATATATTTTAGTTATTGATCGGGATTTAATTTCTTCAAAGAAGCGTAACAAATGAGAGTGTGTGATCATCATTTCAAAAGTCTTAGCCAATCTGAAACCGGCGTGATTTTTTTCTAGTTTTCATTATTTTAAGTGCGATGCACGAATGGAAAATAATAACAGATTTTAAAAAATTTATATGCTGTCTTTATTACGTTTGCCGTTTTGAAATTCAAAAACTCATTTTTTTCGATAAACTCTACTATATATTCTTAACTCTTTAAAAATTGCATGACTATTAAAATGATAGTTTCAGAATCCCTCTTGCATAAGACAAGATATTAGTTTAAATTGTGTTTTAAAATGACTTACTTTCTCCTTTCAGAAAACTCAGCGAGTACAAGTTATGGGATAAAGGGCTTGAGTTCTGATACTCTATTAGAAGAAAAAGAAGCATGAGCATCATATAAATAAGAAAAGAAATAATTAAAGAAGGCCTTTGCTTAAATGTAGTTTCGCTGCTAAAAGGTGACGTTGGTGAATGAAACAGTATTTATATTGACACGCACACAAAACTTTTAACAGTTGTTTTTTTATCCATTCCCACTATATGCGCAGAAGTCATGTGTAGAAAGTGATTCAAATAAATGTAAATAAAACGTTCCATTTTGTTGTTACATTCTTTTAATCGTTTTTAAGTAAATTGCTGACAATCAATTTTTAAACTTGTAATAGTTTTAACTTTCCTTAGATTCTATGTATTAAATTGTACTTACAATGATTAAGAACGTCCAACATCAGTCGAACTTGTTTATAACGGCAATAAAAAGGATGAGACTATTCGCTCGTTAAATCAGGATGCTCGTCAAACCCGCTTCGGAATTATTAAAAAATGCACAGTAATGAACAAAAAGATGCTTAATTTATTTTATAGTTAAACGATTTTGTGCGAACATTGGTTAATGATAACGTATGCAACACACATAGCTCATGATACATTCTGCAGTAAGTAAAAAAAAAGAAAACGGACCACCCGGAATAACTTTCTATCTAATGATCGGATCTTCACTTTCTAGGAATCAATCTTAATAGAGTGGCTGGGTGGCGCAGTTGGTTTGTCGTCGGCCTTCTGAGCCCAAGTCTGCGGGTTCGNTTTGTGCGAACATTGGTTTATGATAACGTATACAACACACATAGCTCATGATACATTCTACAGTAAGTAAAAAAAGAAAACGGACCACCCGGAATACCTTTCTATTTAATGATCGGATCTTCACTTTCTAGGAATCAATCTTAATAGAGTGGCTGGGTGGCACAGTTGGTTTGTCGTCGGCCTTCTGAGCCCAAGTCTGCGGGTTCGATCCCCCGCCCAGACACCGGATTTTCGGGATGCAGACAATCCTCAGCGGCCGTGTCGTATGATTATGCGGCATGTAAAAGATCCCACGAGAGCCTTATAGACAGGGACAGTGATGACGTCAAACCCTGCGTCCTTCCAAACATTTTTTCG